GGTTTTCCCGCCGATAAGCCCCACCCAGCGGAGGCGCCTGCCACATATAGCCATAACCCTCGTCCCGCCATTTCCCATGCCCGGTTGAGTTTCTTCACGTTGACACTCAGAGCACTGGACGGAACTTCGTAGCCAAATGTAGACTTAACAAGAGAAGCCAATATTGGAAAACACACGATGGTCTAAGAATGACGGTCTTCGCACCGCATGTAGGGCCTTCCTGATGAGCCTTTCATTGATTAGATGACGAGACATTTGGCTACCTTAAGAGAGTCGTAGTTACTCCCGAAATTTAGTATTACATCTTCACATACCAACATTTACACATGCTTTTTAACTGTAGTCTATTGATCTTAACATTTCAATATTATTTAAAAGATATCAATGTTTTCAATAACAATTACTGCTTAAACACTACGTATATTCAACTGTAGAACCAGGTGATGAAGTTATCGAAAAGAGCATTCCTTTTTGATTGGACACTAGTAACTAATGTGACGTGTCTGGTCCTTTCTTTGGTGCAGACTGAATTCTATCAGTCAGGTTTGCAATGTGGCTAACATTCTAGGTAGCTCGCCATCCCAGTGCACATTGATTTGATGATATTAGATAGTTGGAGGCAATCGGGAGGTTGCAGATACGCCTTGCTGACTGGTGAGTGCCAACTAGCACGAAACCTAGGTCCAAGGCTTCCTGCCGATTGCCTCCAACCATCTAAGAATATTCCTTGTTCAATGTTTTATGTTTTCCAAATGTCTAGATGGGAATTTTCGCCATATTAAGCTATTTAGTAAACTAACAAGGAGCTTCACTTTTGACTATAATTCGTAAATCAATGCGATAATATAAGTTCGTCTTCGTACAGGAGAATTTTACGTCTGAATTAATGTGGTGGATTTATTTACAGAATATGTGTCGTATGCAATATGATGTAAGGCTTATTGTCCTAATCTCTGTTATAAAAGCAAGAACACTTGACGGAAAACACCAGTGGCATAAAAATTTCCAAGAAATAACCCAGAAACTTATGCATGATGAGATACTGTGCAAAGATGGAAATAATATTTTAAATTGGCGGAAACTATCAGGAACTGGTCTGTCGGATAAAAGCATCATGGGATAACATTTTTAAAAATAATGTTTAAACAGTACACATTCCATTGAAATATTTACGTGTACAGCTTGAAAAAGAGAAGGCGTTCAGCGAAGAGACTCTTTTCGCCGGTGAATTCATTTACATAGCTGTACAATCGCATTTATATAGAATTATTTATGTGTATGTGTGTGTGTATATGAGGTTTGTCAAGTTTAGATAATTAATTAGGTAATACAAGGGTGATCTAATATAGAAATGAGGTTAATCAGACAGCAACTAAAGTAAGATTGAGTTAGTAAGCTAGATGACGTAATGTAATTTCCTAAAATGATTCAACCTACGTCAGGATAGCAACAGAGGTAATTACAGGTAGAGACTAAGTAGAGGTGGGGTAGAGAATAATGTCATTTAAATTAGGACTAAAGTCGAGCAAATAAATTCGATGACTTAACATAAATTGAGCGTTGGTCAAGTAAGTAACAGTGACAATGAGGTGTAGAAATTAAATCGGGCGCGGGTAGAGAACAGGAAAGTTGAAAATGTGAAATATTACAATTGAAAAGACAAAATAATACTAATGAAGAGATAGAAAGAAAGAAATGATAAGTAAAACAATTTCCGAGAAAAATGGCACCATAATTAGCTCCCAGGATAAACGACTAGAACATTGGAAAGAACACTTTGAGGAGCAATTCAGTTGGCCTACAGCCACGCCCAACCTACCCAACACCTCCCTGAATGAGGCATAGACACAGGCCCACCAACCCTAACTGAGGTTACTAAAGCTGTTACGAGGCAAAGAAGTGAGACCTGATGAAATGACTCCAGAGGTATTCAGGGATGGTGGAGACAGTTTACCGTCTGTGTTAACTAAGGTATTAGGCAGCATCTGGGAATCAGAGGTGGTCCCGTCGGGCTGGTGTAATTCATTGATTATCCCGAAATACAAGAAGGGAGACAAATCTTCCTGTGATAATCACAGGGGGATTAGCGTGACCAATATGCTATCCGAAATTCTAGGCTCGATAATCACGCGTAGACTAAGTGGTGCCTGGGAGAAACAAACACGAGAGAACCAGGAAAAGGGTGTATTGATCATATCTTCACCATTTGACAGATTCTGGAACATAGGCATACATACCGGCGTCCAACAGTCGTCATATTTCCTGACCTGAAAGCGGCATTTGATTCTGTCAACCGAGAGATACTCTGGCGATGCTTGGCTGTGAAGGGAATACCGAGAAAATACATTACACTGATCAAGGCACTGCATTCGAACTCATGCAGCCAGGTAAGAGCTTACGGCGAGTTGTCATCTGAAGTGGTGATAACTAGTGGTGTCCGTCAGGGATGCCCACTATGTCCATTTCTACTTAGTTTCATCACAGATGTACTAATGGATTTAACCCTAAGTGGCTTCAGAGACTTGTTACCAGGGAATAATCTCGTTGACTTAGAATATGCAGATGATATAGTCCTTCTAGGCAGAGACGCGGACAAAATGCAGAGTTTTCTGAACGCCTTGAGTTGCAATCTGCGAATGTTTGCCATGCGATTCGCTCCCGCCAAATGTAAGATGATGCTACAGGACTGGACTACACAGACTCCTAGCTTAGAAATACGAAGTGAAGTGGTAGAGCGTGTTGACCACTTCACTTATTTGGAAAGTTGTATCAGCCAACGCCAGCGGGTTGATCGCTGACGAAATCTCAGAACGGATACAGAAGGCTAGTTTTGCATATGCCAGTTTACGCCGTCTCTGGAGTAGATGTGATATCTGACTGGCTATCGACCAAGGGTGTGTGTACTGCTTAGCAGTCCGCTCCATCCTCCTCTATGCCTGTGAGACTTGGCCACTGAAAATGAAAGACATGAAAAGGCTAGCTGGATGTCTTTGATTACAGGTGCTTGAGTTCTATCTCCCGTGTGAAGTGGTATAACAGAGTGAGCAGTATTGAGGTTAAGCGTCGAGTACTAGGTAAGGAGGGGAAATCAATCGACGAAGCTGTGAAATTACATCGACTGAGATGGTTGGGACATGTGCCTCCAAAGCCTCAGGTTGGTCGGAGGTGGGTGCCTTGCGCTGCGGGTTGGCCACCCCTCCGCACACCTCTTGAAATGCTCCCATATGACCGGGCGTCTTACATAGCCTCTCCTGAGGAAGTCCTACTCACTGCCTTCACGTGGCGGAGGTGTTTTTCACCAAAGTGAGAGGGCGAAAGCGGATGCCCGGCGCTCTTCACCGGGTTGACTGTCCATTGGTTGACAGTCTAGGGGAGATGGCTAAACCCTGATTCCAAACCTCCAACGACTGGCGTTTGAAACTCACTGGAGCTCACCGGCAGACGTATGGACAAAGGGCTTGTTGGATGTCTGGCCCTATTCAGAAAGGCGTATGAACCGAACTCCGGTCACCGGCTGCCAATGGATAGTGGACTCCCTACTCCACTCCTACTGCCTTGTAGGTCACACTTGGTTGTGTAAAGGCTAGAGCTGCACTCTCAAACAAAAGGCCGAGCGATTCTGGGGACATCACTCGTATCAAATTCCCATGAAACTTCATCAGATCGCCGCGCCTGGGCAGCGATGATTCGAGATGTTCTTCCTCCCGTAGGAGATAGCCGAAGTAAAGTAAAGTAAGTTGGGACATGTGTGACGTATGCCTAGTCATTGCCTTCCTCGACGGGCAATGTTAGCTGACATAGGGTTAGGCTGGAAAAGAGCTAGCGGCGGTCAAACCAAAACATGGCTTCATCAGTCAATGAAATCCACAACAGTTGGTTTAAGCCAATCACGTAAGAAGGTGTAGACTAACTGTTTGGGGTCCTCAGGACGGCAAAAACCAATGGCTACAGACAATTGATGATATGGCTCAAAATCGTTCTCAATGACTGGTGCAAATGCATCCACTCCTTATGACTTATAATACCCAATGGAACTATATTATTCTTCGTTAATACTATACCTTTTGTCTCATATCCCTGTCTACTGTCTCTATTTTGTATTTCTTCTACTTTCTTCTCCTGCTTTGTGTACCACATGGAGTGTGGCGACTTCAACTGTTGCACTTCGGTGCAAAGTTCTATGTTGAAAACAGACAGACAGCTTCTGGAGTTTGAAGAAGTCTGATTCGTACACTTTTAAGAAGACTGCTTTGTATTTTTTAGACAACTTTGAAGTTTGTTTGGGGGTGTAGCTCGGTGTATTACCTAATTAATTATCTAAACTTGACAAACTTCATGTACACACACAACAACAAAAATAATTGCATATAAATGCGGTTGTACAGCTATGTGAATGAACTCGCCAGAGAAAAGTCTCTTCGTTGAACGTCTTCTCTTTTTCATATGACTTCAATGGGGATTTTTAAGCTACTTAAACGTGTACAGCTTGGTTACTTGCGGAGAATTTAAATAAAAAACATCAAATCTCCACTTTTGTATTTTATTTGTGAGACAGATGTAATGTCTCAAAATTCAAACTGATACCTTAAGTTACTCGTACCTCTGAATATATGTTAAGCTTGTAGATCATACGACGAAAGTGGAATACCATCTAATGATTCTTATTTCTATGATGACGGTAAACGTTTACATGCTTTCTTTTTCTATAATAACTTACACTGTTTAGCTACTATGAGTAAGAGATAAGGACTTCTAATTTTTCTAGGTAGGATCTCAACATCCACTAGCTGCATTAAAATCAAGCCGAAATAATCGAAAAAGAAATACATCATACAAATTTAATGATAAGACTAATCAGTAAGCGGAAAATTAGGAAAATTGGATGAGACTACAACCCATCCACTTTAATCTAAGTAATAGCACTTGTAAACCTCAATGCTCTAAGCAGAAACTTTCTCAAACTTTCTCCTGGAATCCTATTTATCTATAACAACAGTCAGTAACAGCATCAAAACGCTTATTTTACACATCTACACAAAACAGTAGATTTAAAGAAGGGTAAATAAATCATCAGCATTTAAATATATTTGGAAATAGCAATACAATCATTTTGATATTAGTAAATACAGAGAAGACATACAACAAAGTGACCACAAATCAAAAGTACGAAAAGTCATCCAACACACCGTATAAAAATATCACAGATTACCGACACGATCTCTAGGGATTAATCGTAATTCTGACCCATGCTTCAAAAACACTTCACCTGTGATTGGAAATAAAAATTAATCAATTAATTAATTAATATATATAACAGACTATTAGTTCTCAATGTCTGGGCATGTAATTAGAAGTCACTTGATGGATGGTGACTAGCAGTGGAATCCAGGATGCGTATTTCGTCCTATTTGGGACTCGTCAATTAAATAATTAATATGACCCGTTGCACAAGAGGTGGTTCTCATGACCCAAGTGGTCTAGTGGGTAACGCTTTGGCGTTTGAAACTATGGGCACTGGGTTCGAGCCTCGGCGGGAACATCATCACTCACTGGGAAGTGCAAGTACATCCAGATGACGAGTCCCAAATAGGACGAAGTGCGCATCCTGGATTCCCCTGCGAGATGATATTGTGCTTAAAAACTGTGGCCCATTGTAAAAAATGTTTGGCGGACTATCCTGCGATACATGCTTAGTTACAATTATTTCAATTTTTTAACTAGGTAACTGAGAATGCTGCGAAGATTTTGATATTGAAGTGTTTGAAAACAAAGACAAACAGCACATCAAAATAAATTTAGAGCTAGATTTCAATTTTTAGCCAGTGAGTCCACATAAAGAACACTATTTCGTTTACTTAACTTCGGGCAACCGCAAACAAAAACTTTGCTCCCTTGAAAAGTACATAATAATGTGCAGTCATTGGATTACATTTCCACGAAGACTCATAGAGTAGATTTTCTCTTCCCTGGGAGTACAAGTGAAAAGCACGAAGAATCATTTTGAAGCACATGAGGACATTTATAAAATGAGAACCTCATCTGGAGTACTGAATATATAAATGACAAGCTAATTTACTGTACGAAACCATGCGTACGCTCCAGTATCTCGGAGATACAGAAGGCAAGTGATTCACTAAATGTCAAATAAATTCTCGAAATTTAATGTTCAACACTCAATCGTAGTTTTAAGAGAACAAAGACGAATTACCTGCAGTTTGTTGGGGGTTTATACCTATTCCATCATCCGTGATGATTGCGCTTGTCGCAGCTGGAACACTAAACTAAAACAAAAAAGTAAACAAATTACTTAAGCAAAATGATTAGAACGTTCAACACCAGGTGTATGAAACCTAGTCGAATTGAAAGTCATCGAAAAGAACTTGTTAAATGAAAGAAATGTCAATAAGCTAGGAATACTGTAAATACACATTCCGTATTACTTTCATTAATGTAAGCGTAAAACGGGCACTGTGGTAGAATGTAATTCCATATTAGATAAGCTTATTTGGAGTGATACATAATGATGCAGTATTAATAACTGGATGACGCTTCGAGCACAAACTACTGCTTATAATCATTAATTTAGTCACGTAACCTCATAGTTTGCCTCACATAAATATATATGACATCGCGCGCCAAGCCCTCGAGTGGAATCTAAATGGGAAGCGACGAGTGGGTCGTCCTAGGGTGACATGGAGGAGGTCGCATGAGGAAGAGATGAGACAGTTTGGGCAATCGTGGACCCAGCTGAAGAGGATGGCAGAAAGTAGAACAAAGTGGAGATGTGTTGTTGAAGCCCTATGTGCCACTCGGAACCCAAGGGAACAATAATAATAACATAATAATTAATATATATACTCTTCCCCTAGTTGTTTTTTACAACTATACCTCCCGTACTACTTGTGAATGTTACCGGATTGTTGTAAAAATGAGTATTTCTGCAGATGGAGCTATAATTTTTAATGAGTTATTCGTATAAGCTGTTTCAAACTAAGATACCTTATTCTATATTAAATATGTGCGACTTTTGTTGGCAATGAATAGAGTAAACTTCAGCAGCACTTACTAAGATTGCTTTAATAGCACTGATTCTTAAAACTTAAAACTGATGACTTCATATAAACCAAGAATGAAGGCTTTCTGGTTGCGGCCTAGAGAGTCATGAAGAAAATGAGGCACGAATAAGAAATGTCGGTGATATGAATACGTAGTTAGTAATGCATGAGTCACGACGTGTAAAATACTTATTATTCTGAGGCACCAGGCTGTTTAGCAGCAGTGATCAGAGAAACGGCACAAAATTCAGAAACCGATAATATGATAGAACAACTTATGAAAAGTACATTACATAATCCTGTGTGAATGAAATTTCTAACATCACCCTCGTGAAGTACAGAGACAAAACTATTGACTTTACATTACGGAATATTTGGGAATGACCACCAAACTGACATTAGCGCAAAATGCGTAAGAAAACATGGTTTAAATCAAGATAAATTAGAATCTTTGAATATATTTTCAGTGGATCTGAAAAAAGACATGAGTAGACTACGGTACTGTAGTACACTGAAATGGCAAATCATTTTTATGATCCTTGAAGTCTAATAACTAAGAGCTCTAGGACACTTATTATTACAAGCTGCAAGCCCTAGTATAATCAGGCTGCATCTGAGGCATACAGATTGCAGCGATCACCACGATAAAACAGGATGTATACACCATTTGAAAATTATGATTCACAGTAGCATAATACAGTAAAATTACTAACCTCCTCTGCAGCGAACTTCAGAACAGCAGTAAAAGGTGCACTTTCAGGAACTTTGAGTCTATGAATATAAGTAAAATAATACTACACAACTTACACTTTAAAAGGTAAGTTGGGGTCAGATGTTAAAGTAATTTTAAAAGATATTTTCGACCTAATAAACGGAATATTAGAAAAATTAACACGACATACATGTAGCGTACGTGTCAAAAGGTTGCACATTGAATATTCAATATCCAATATCGTATTTACTAGCTAGTTTAAACCAATTTGATTTCTTTGTGCTCGCCTCTTGATTGTGAGGTATAGGTTTACGATCTTCGGTAAAATTCTGCATAGCTCGTCCCGCCACTCGACTGTCGTAGCTTTGGTTGACTCCAAAAGGAGTAGTGCAGGGATTAATTGTGGTTTGTAGTATGAGGTGTGTTAAGACTGTTACTACTGTGAATGGAGCTGATTCTTTCACCAGTTAGTCCTCCGGTATCGTTGTCAAAAGAAAAGAGACAATAATAATGATAGATATAATTAGTGAAGTTATTCAGACTAACAGACAGAAAAAGAATAAGAAAACGTAATAACAGTCAGCTGATTAAATTTGAAGGATAATATGAATAATGTAAATATATACCGGTAATAATGATAATAATAATAGGTGTAGTTAAAGCTGTCAGGAGAGTAAGACGGAAGAGAATGTGAAGAAGTAAAACGACCAGTTTAATTGTCTACCCCTGAATGGTGTATGCGATTTCAAGGGGATAGGCCATTTGGATGCAGTCCTTGTGTCGCTGCATGGTTGTCCAGCCCTCGCTTAAAGGCGCCCACAGATGGTGCCATAGCTACATCTGCCGGTAAGGAATTCCAGGGACGGCAAACCGGCAGGGAAAAGAAGTGGGATTGTACCCGGATCCTTCCCCTCTGATAAGCTATCCTTCTAGGATTTCCGCGAGGGAGCCTACACCTGCTCAATGGCAGAACACCTTTGTTTGAGTGATTCTGGTCATTTGTTATTTTGTAGGCAGTAATTAAATCCCCCTGAGACGACGGTAGCTAAGTGTGAATAACCCTAATGTCTTCAGCCTTTCATCATATGGTTTATTTCGGAGACCTACCATTCCTTTTGTTACTCGTCGTTGGACTCTTTCGAAGAGATTGGCGTCTCTTCTAATCAGTGGGGGTGCAATGATATTATGCACTTCAAGGTGCGGTCTGACGTATGTTTTATACAACCTTAGAAAGAGCTCAGGAGTGAGTGCACCTAATTGTCTATGTGTAAAGTGTATGACCGCATATACCCTCGCTACATCCCCCGTGTAATTTACGCTTGTGTCCATTTTCTCCGTTAGAACTAGACCTAAGTCACGTTCCGACGTTGTGCAGGACAAGCTTTCATTGCACAGGGTGTAACTTGCATTCTGCAGCCAACAGGTGCGTGATTTCACTTCTTTACACTTTTTCAGGTTGAAAGCCATGCCAATGGCCACTGCGCAGTCTTCCAGAAGGTTTAGATCTCCCCGTAGCCTATCTGAGTCCTCTGGGCACTTTATCGCCCTCCATATCTTCACGTCATCAGCGTATAGAAGAGTCGGGCAGCTTAGACGGCATGGTGGATCATTGATAAAAATCAAGAACATCAGTGGTCCCAGGATAGAACCCTGCGACACTCCTGATGACGAGCTGTGCCAAGATGATCGATTGGCCTAGATGCAAAATTGCCTTTCAGTTAGGTAGTCCTTCAACCATGACAGAAGTGGTTTACCTGGCTTATTTTGTGTAGGAGAAGGTCATGGTGAACAGTGTCGAACGCCTTCTCAAAGTCTAGGAAGACCACATGAACTGGAACATTCATATCCCAGCATGATGTCCAATCGTCCCAAGCTGATAGTAAGTTAGTAACGCAGGATCTCCTTTTCCTGAAATCGTGTTGGGCTTCATGGAGTATATTAGACCTATCAAGATATTCCCTGATGTGGTCGTCAATAATACTTTCCAGTACTTTCGATACCACTGGGAGTAGAGCTACTGGTCTATAACTAGTGGGATTTTGCCTATCTCCACCCTTGAAGATCGGAGAAAGGATGCTTCTTTTCCACTCCCTTGGCATTTTCCCCGATTCCATGGAGTGTTGGAACAAGTCGCATAAGGGCCTACAGAGAGCTTCGGCGCACCGTTTCAGGACAGATGGCCTGATGCTGTCACAACCTGGAAACTTCCCAGGTGTGAGTCGCTGTGGCTTTCTTAGTACTATTGCAGGGCAGTAGCCACTAAGTCTTCCTCCTGTGAAATAGTGGTGCCACCATTTTGGTCCGTAACGGTAATATCCACATTGCTGTTTAGCTGTTTAGCGAAGGCTAAACTGAATGTTTCCACCATCTCCAGACTAGTGGGATATTGACCGTTTGGGCCTACTAAGGCACATGCCTCCTGGTTGGTTGGTTTTCTTTCCTACATGAATCCATACAAGTTCTTGGGGTTTGCCAGGAGTTTTTAGCAAGGTTAGCCTGGAATGACCTTCTGTCCCTCCTGACTCTTGCATTGCACCCGTTCCTGAGTTCCAGGTATGCATCATGGTCGATCTGACTTCTAGATACGCCCCACGTAAACCAAGCCTTCCTCTTTGCTTGCAGAATACGCTGCGTGCCTCTCTTTAACCATGATGATTTTCTTTTTGGCTGTGCTGTGACTAAAGGGACGGTATCCGAGATCGCTTCATTTTTTAATTGCTGTCACCCTTTGGTAGAAAGACATTCTAAACTCAGTTTCGAGTAGCCGACTGATAATGAATGGATTCATATTTGAATATTTCTGTGTCTCAGTTTCTCCTTTGAATTACGGAGATTGCAGGCCCAAGTTACTTATTCGGTGATGTTTATTAGTGTAGCATACTGGGTGCCTATCGCCTACTTAACGTTCACCACGTGGATGTACATTTTTCCCTGTGAGTAATGATTTCGTCAAAGACACCAAATGTTACATGAGCCGAAATCCCTGCCAAATAACTGAGTTCAATTTAATAAGCACGGTAGTGTCTTGCCACTCGTTCAGGTTGCCTACGTGAATTCGGCCCAGAAATATCTACAGGAATTCCCAAACAAAAGGATAGTATGATTCTTGTGTTCTGAATAGGTGTTCAATCTAGACCTGCAGCGAACACACCCATGCAGTTAGCCACATCGATGAGCATCATTAGTTATTTTGGCAAACATAACATATTATTCGGTTCAATTTGTAGCGTGCACCGTCTTCTACTCACTTACTCCCCCAAAATGTGGGGCCATCAGAGCAAAGACCTCTGTGCCATCTAAAGGGTCTATTCAATTTACTGATATACAAAAGAAGCGATAGAGTTCCAGTACATAAACTTTTAATGCTGTGGCTTGTATATATGTCACTGATAACAGTTTAGGGTTGTCTCTTGATAGTTGCCTACTACAAAAATGGGATTCTATGGTCCATTTGTGTAAACCTTCCGTGATTTGAAAACTTCCTAGTTCCATGAAAACCAACACACAAAGCATTTTATCACACGATCCATGCCGCCAACTAGCAAGGAACCTAGGTCCAAGGCTTCCTACCGATTGCCTCTAACTATCTAATATCATCAAATCGATGTACACCGTGATGGGGAGCTACCTAGAATGGTGACCACATTGCAAGCCTTACTGACAGAATTCAGTCTGCACCAAAGAAAGGACTAGATGCATCACACTAGTTACTAGTGTCCAATCTGAAGGTACGCTGTCAGTCATCCACTTTTGGTTGTTTGCGCCCAAACTCGAGCGAGTTTAGCAACCATCTTCTCCCAAAATGTGTTTCTTCAGCCGTTGAAGGAGACGACAAGGCTACTCGAACCAGGAAGCAGTTTAGCAGAATTACATAGCTATGTTGTTTAAGATCGTGTTCAGGATGAATAAACTTCAGTGACTGGCCGTCATGATATTTCCAATATTCTTTCAGCCAAAGTCGTCACGAGCACAGTCTGCACTGGCTGTGACAACTTAGACAGAAGCATTTCTTCAAGGTGTTCCTAGTTGAATTTGGGTCACCGTATGTCCTTACGCATCCATGAAACAATACATATAACTGAACCACGCCGTTACACAACATTGTGTAGGCGTCAGTCAAGATGTTGGCGATCCAAGATGTCATTACACTTCACAATTACTTCTTTAGGCGTCCTGTAGGGTTTGTTTATCTATAGGATAGGCATATGTGTGGTAACTCATTTATTAAATTCCCAAGACAGAGCACCATAAGTGATATGAGTTGGGAGCATGGATAAGTTACTGCATGTTTATGTAAGTTGGTTGTACCGCACAGAGACTATGTCCATGAAGAGTCTAGGTAAAATGTTACTAAATGAATGAAACTACGGGCACTGGGTTCGAGCCTCGTTGGGAACATCATCACTCACTGGGAAATGCAGGTACATCCAGTGATGAGTCACAAATAGGACGAAATGCGCATCCTGCATTCCACTGCTAGCCACCATCCACCAATTAAATTCTAATTAAATGTCCAGACATAGTCGAAGCATCTCCCAACTGTCGTGGATTCTTGACACCGCACATTTAGCTTGACCAGTCGAATTAGCAACTAAACAGTAGGATCATTGCTGAATGATGAAAACCGTAGGCTAATAACCTTGAGTAATTGTGTGCCGCTACAAGTTTAAATAGCACAAATTTCATTGGGTGTGAGTTCAAATCTGAAAGATGTGTTTTTGTATTTATTAGAGTATAAACAAAATATTCTGACAGATACGGATATTAGTGAAAACATTTCAAAACTACAAAAATTGTATTCACTTACTTCACAGCCGTAAAACTTGCAAATTCATCTTAATTACACCGAAAACTTATTATTTACGAGCTGATGGTGTTGACGTTAACGAGTAGTACGAAGTATACTAACGCAAGATCTAATACCCACAACTTCTATAGTACTCGCTCCGTGTAGACCGAAGGCAAAGCAAAACACCAGATTTGGTTGTCTCAATTACGAACTATATTTTGGGACCAAATCGGAGTGCGAGATGATTGCTTAACTAGCCAGGGATCGTGCACGGACGAACGAACGTAACACGACGGCGTGCCGATTGGCGTGGATTCTTGACCGTAAGCCCTCAGCCAAACAAATCGACTAAGACAGTAAGGGTCGGCACCCGATGTTCATTGATGAATGCTTTGGCTTATGATTCTGGGAAATTACCCGCCGCTACAGCTCACTCCCTTCCTAGTGGGGTTGTGAGGGCCCTAAGTCGAAACCAACCGGAA